TCTTTCACCAGCTGGCTAATGTTTGTGGCAACAACTAGCTTCCCAATACTGCACCAAGACAGACTTTGTCATCCACTGGCACCATGGGACAACTGTAAGCCCCTCCCTTGGGGCCTGCCCTTACAAACTTAAGGCATGGAGAGGCAAAACAGAACATATATTTCTATAAGAGGGTATCTTATAATTCTCTTCTTTCATTTTTCCTCAGGAAGGAAGGAGGAAAAGGGTAGAGCAAGGCAGGACTGTAACAGAAGGTGCCTCAAAGTGGAAGTAAGTATCAGAAGTGAAATTGGTACTCCTTTAATGGCAAAACAATATACTTTTAGGGACCAAAAGTTCATACACAGTTTTTGGATATATCAAATGTTAGATTTTAGATTTTGAATGTTAGAAAGAAATTTAAACTACATATATTTTTAGGTCATGCTTACACATACATTGTGGAACATGTTTTTCCTTTTTTTTTTTTTAGATGGATTCTTGTTCTTGCCACCCAGGCTGGAGGGCAGTGGCACTGGCATGATGTTGGCTCACTGCAACCTTTGCCTCCTGGGTTCAAGCAATTCTCCTGCCTCAGCCTCCCGAGTAGCTGGGATTACAGGTGCCCGTCACCACACCCAACTAATTTTTGCATTTTTGGTAGAGATGGGGTTTCACCATGTTGGCCAGGCTGGTCTCAAACTTCTGACCTCAGATAATCCCACCTCAGCCTCCCAAAGTGCTGAGATTACACTCATGAGCCACCATACCTGGCTGGAACATGGTTCTTATCAGGTCTTATCTGTAACCACACAAAACAGATCACAAAACTGCTGGGAAAATGACACAATTCACCCTGGCCTTCTTCTGTTTGTAATACAGTTATTCTACTGACACAATCCTTAGATTACAGGTACAATCTTTTAGCTGTTCCGGATTCATGTATTCACTATACTTAATCCTTGGTAAATGTTGGTCCTTGCATTAATACATTTGTTTAATGTGCTCTCAAAGATAGCATGTTCATAATAGGATGTATAATATAGGGCAGATAATAAGGTTTATCACCACCGAGCCTCCAGTGACCATCAGAATTTTCAGTATTTATTAATTCATTACACATGCTTAGAGGCCTTCTGATGTGACAGAGACTATGCCAGAGACTGGAGCAATAACGCTCATCAGGATGCACTCGAGGAGCTCATGGACAGATGGGGGGCAGATGTGAGAGCTCACTGAAGTGTACTGACAGCACGGGAGTCCTCTAGGAACACAAGCTGGGCCTTGAGTCATGCCTAAATCAAGGGACTCTGACACTTTAAGTTGTCCAACTTTACACAGCTTGTGACTGGTAGAGGAAGTACTCGGACTTAGACTGATTCCAAAGCCACCGATACTTCAGGTGCCACTTTGTGATGATGCTGCCCTCATTGTACCTGCCCCCGATGGGGCAGTGCTGCAGAGGGCAGACAGTGTGGCTGTGTGCTTCTGAGTAGTTTCTGCCCAAAAAGCTGGCCTTCGAGCCTAGTGCTAACCCTGGCTTCAGCCTCCTTCCTGGAGTCATCAGTGTCAGCTGACGGGCTGTGACCTTATTAGGCCAAGCTGACAAAGGCATTCCCCCTTTCTCTAATGATCCCATTTTCCTTACCCTTCAACAAGCTGAGGCTGATCTTCAGTCAGGCAGAGGCCTAGGAGAAGGAAATGCACTGGTGAACTGGCTGCAGGTACCCATTTTACCCCACCTCCCTGTCATGCTTCGGCTGATTCATGAGGGATTTGTTGTTGTTATTTCAAGTTGCCTATAAATCAGCTATACCAAAAATGGTGAGGACAACCCTAGATTCTATGAAGGTAATTCGTAAGTCCAAGAGCAGGAACTTCCAAACACTGTCTACATCAAAAATTTAGCATCACAAATCTAAGTTTTATCTACAAGCATGCAGAAGGGAAAGTACAAAGAAGCTGGGACAAGCGTTGACTTCTCTGATCCTCTGTAATTGCACAAGAGCGTAAGATTTAACATTGTGAATAAATGGATGTATAATATAGGGCAGATAATAAAGTTTATCAACTGAAAGACAAAAGTTTTAAATTATCAGTAACTCTGCCTAAAGTTATCTCTTCTTTCCTTACAGGTAAGAACCTACCTTTTTATTTTGAGACGCAGTCTCGCTCTATTGCCAGACTGGAGGAGTGCAGTGGCTCGATCTCAGCTCACTGCAACCTCTGCCTCCTGGCTTCGAGCGATTCTTCTGCCTCAGCCTCTTGAGTAGCTGGGACTACAGGTGTGTGCCACCACGCCTAGCTAATTTTTGTGTATTTTAGTAGAGATGGGGTTTCACCATGTTGGCCAGGCTGGTCTTGATCTCTTGACCTTGTGATCTGCGCACCTCGGCCTCCCAAAGTGCTGGGATTACAGGTGTGAGCCACTGCACCTGGCCAAGGGCCTACCTTTCTTGAATACACCTCTAACTTTGAAATTCTGTTATTTACAGGAATATGGTTGGGGCTAACAGGGGGTTGAAAATAATCAGTACAGTATTTGGAGAGTCATGGGAAGAGCAGCTAAGACCGGAGCAGCCACCAAAGGATATTCTCATTTCGACTGAGGTTGGAAACAGCAGCCAGTGATTCCAGTGCTAAGGACTTTATATGTATTTTTCTTCACAATGTCCTGGTGAGTTAAGTTCTCTTGTAAAAGGGGAGCTGATGCTGAGAGGTCACAGAGCTTGAACATGGGGAAGGGGACACTGGAGCCAGGCAGTCGGCCCCTGGAACCCACATTCTTACCACCATCTTCTGCATTTAGTTATGGAACTTCTCACTCAGCTCAATCTTGGCATGATTCACCTCAAATGGGGTGCAAGGGCTTCTAAACAGTGCTGCTGGCTGACCGGCAGGCTTCAGAGATCTGCTTGCTGTCAAGGAGCGTTTTGAAGTTAGCAAAACGGTAGAGCTGCTGTAGTTGGAGGTTGGCTGACTATTCAGTGAAGGTCCTCAAAGGGAGTACCAATGTGCCGTCTCAGCCTTGTCTTAGTTTCTGTAATAGAGCTCCTGTTTCTGAGTTACAGGACTCAAACTCACAAGACATTAATGTATAGAATGCCAATTTACTAATTTGCAATGCTTAGATAGACCCTCCTAGTGAGTGACCAGAATGTTCACTGTTCAGAGAACTCTGTTCTAAGAACCAAGGTTTGTGGGAGCCTCCTTAGTCATTATAACTTCATTTGTGAATGCAAATGAGAATAAAGGGAAAGGATGGTGCTGATGTCTGGAATCCAGGATGCGGCTAGAAATGCAAGAGGCAGTCCAAGACCAATGAGTGCAGACACAAGCACTGCAACTGCAATAAAAGTGCTACAGCTGAAGGTGACACAGCAGAGTACGACAATGAAAATGAATAAAGCTAAACCTCACTTTCATGTGGAGCCTAAAAAAAGAGTCAAATATACAGAGATAAAGAATAAAACTGGTTCCAACGGCCAGCGGGGAGAGGGAAGAAATGGGAAGATGTAGGTCAAAGGATGCAAAGTGGCTAATCCACAGGATGAGTGAGCCTAAGATCTAATGTGCACACGAAGACTACAGTTAGTAAGGCTGCACTTGATTCAGGGTTTTTACTAAGAGAGATTTTAGGTGCTCTTGTCACACACACACACAAAGGGCAACTATGTGAGAAGTGCTTCTGTTGATTTACTTGACTATAGTAACCATTTTACTATGTATATCAAAATATCATGCTGTACACCTTAAATATTTATAATAGGCCGGGTGTGGTGGCTCACACCTGTAATCCCAGCACTTTGGGAGGCTGAGATGGGTGGAACACAAGGTCAGGAGATAGACACCCTTCCTGGCCAACATGGTGAAACCCTGTCTCTATTAAAAATACAAAAATTAGCTGGCTGTGGTGGCACATGCCTGTAGTCCCAGCTACTTGGGAGGCTGAGGCAGGAGAATCATTTGAACCTGGGAGGTGGAGGTTGCAGTGAGCTTACAGTGTGCCACTGCACTCTAGCCTGGTGACAGAGCACGACTCCGTCTCAAAAAAAAGGAAAAGAAAAGAAAAAATTGGTGTGGGGCTATGTAGTAGTAGAATGATTTTGAGGACATCTGACTTATTTAGAAGGAGTCTTCTCTTTTT